AAACTCACTGCCCTAACCAATTTTGGCAAACCTCAAATCAAAACCTATGAAAATGTTCAAAACTTGTTCCTTCTCAACAGTCACATCCAAGGATAGCCATTTTATATGATCTGAAGAGGAAAAGGAATTACCTTTCTAACAGCCGATGTCAGTCCCATGGTAAAAAGAACATCACTGTCCACATACTTCCATGTTAGACTGTCCTTCGCTTGATTTTTGAACAAATCATTCATTCCACCTTCTATGACGCAGAGAAGAAAGTAACTTCTTGTCTATTTCTCGCCATCAAATGTTTTCGCCTACTAAGCGTATCCATGTCTATGGAAACCAGAAACAAAGAAAGAAAGAGATAGATAGTGAAAGTGTATGTTTGAATGAGTTTTAGAATTCAATATGAGTTGATATAGTTGTTCAATCAACGGAGTTGAGAAGCGGATGATAAATATATGAAATATGAAGAAAGTAGTTCCGGATTGTAGCAGTGACTTGTACCAATCGTGAACTACTACAGAAGGTTGTACGAGCAGACTAGCTGAGCTTAAGGCCTCGTGGGCTTGAAGAGTGGGCTGGACCAAGCTAGGATGGACGTGACTTGATGCTCTAGGTGATCTGGAGGAGTTCCTTGGAGAGGATCAAGGAGCATGAAGATTTTCTTATATCTTGGCTAAGATTAAGGAAATGAGGATATTCTACAAAGATGTGATATCTTCCAAACTTGAAGATCAAGGCTAGGGTTAGCCGTCGGTTCCTATTGTGTATAAATAGGAGTGTAAAAACGTGGAGAGATGTTCAACACAATTAGATCATATGTCTTAGCAAAGGGGATTGGAGATTGTCTAGTAAAAAGAGATCTTGATCAAATGGGCTAAGGGGTAGTGATAGGTTCACAAGATCATGTGTGATTTATGAACACGTTAGGCTAGGATTGAAGTTGATAAGTGGAACTTGTAAGTGTACTTATCGTTTGATCTTGTAAAAACGTTTTGGAGAAAAGAACCCCTTGTGTATTGTGTTCGTTTCCTGTACTAGTACCTGTAGTACTCTCTATTATAGCATCTCTCGCACTTACAGATAGTAGCCAAACATGTAAGCTGTACAACTAATAGCTCCACATAAAATTTTTAACGTATGTGTGTGAATATATGAACGAATTCTCTGAGTTTTTTTCTCGGGTTCTTTTCTTGGGCTCTACATGAAATGCTTCCTTAAGGTAGATGTTGATCGCGCTCCTCGTTGTCAAACCAGCTTCCTCATCAAATATAATGGATGGGAATTCCCAAAGACCAGCAAGCAGACCCTCTTCTGGTCTCTTTACAAGAACAAATATGCCGCCCGATTGGTTCCTCTCCTGATTCAGTATTTCCAAAACACAAACGCAGCAAAAGTCACATTTTGGCTTGGCCTTGACCACTTTTGTAAGATAATCCATCACAGGAATGCATCTGTTTTCCTGGAAAAGTGAATATGCACGGCATTGACCGGAAACAGGACAAGAAGAGCAACTTTGTTTTGATACAGTGCATAGGGTTGCACCAAGCTCCAGGACGTGAAGGATCCACTAGCTGTGCAGCTAGTTTCCTGAACAAAAAATAGAAAATATTTATTGATACTCTCTGTTATTACCATCTCAGTAGCAAGACATCCAAATAAATACAAGAGAATTTCACCAGAAATTCTTGATGGTATGTCGATCTTTTGGATTAGCTGAGATGGCCTTTAGTCTGGCGAGAACTCTTATCACGTTTCCATCAAACAACAGGAACCACCTGGAGCGGAATAAGTGCCAAACAGAGAAAGATTACTCAAATGTCTTACAACTACGGTTAAAGAATAAAACTGACTCGCCTCATGTTAGGAGATCTCGGAGATAACGAGATCGCCCTTGAATATATTTTTTTATAGTTATTAGGAAAGTTAATATTTGTGTATAAGGTATATATATATTTTCTATTAAATATATGTAAAAAACTTGCTAGACAAGTTATAATATGTATAAATATGCCTATTGGCTAATCAATAAAACTGAGAGAAACTATTCTACTACTAAGATTTCCTCCAACATCTATCAAAGCAATGGAGGCAATTGCTCCAGTCGTGTACTCTCCTATTACTTTAACTTTCATCAAGCTAGACGCTTGATTTGGTAATCCCTCTGTCTCTGCAACAACCGTCTTTGCTCCCTAAGAAAGAATCAAGACAAGAAAGAAATCGTTTGATCACGAAACCAAATGAAAGTATCATGACTAAAAACAATGTCAAATCACGAATTCCAGAGCGTATCCTCTATATATTAATTGAGGAGACACTAGGTGAAAAATCATAGTTGTCACTCAAAGAGGATTTTAAGAAACATCTAATAAAGACTATGAAAAAAAATTTAATGGCATAAACTATTATCCTCTATATATTAATAGAGGAGACACTAGATGAAATCATATATGTCATGAGGATTTTAAAAGAAAACTATTAAAAATTCTTAATAACATGAACCATTATGAAAATAATTAGAATAATTATCCACTAAATTTATATCATATATACAATATATAATCATCAAACGAATATGTGGTAATTAACATAGAAGATTTTGTGTGAGAATTATCTTAATTTCTTTTCAATAAGACTAACAACTATATTTTTTTACCCGTCAAACGCGGGATATAATATTCGAAAACAAAAATTCATTAGTTTTTTAAATACACGGGAGAAAATAGAAAGAACAAAGATCAAATGGTATATATCTCATACTTTATCTTACAAAAATTAATTTGCATGACACTTAAATTAAAGGAAAATTTGCTAAATTGACTCAGTTTGAAATTGGGAATGTCCCAATAACCTTTATACACATATCCTTTGTCCCAATAACCTTTGATATTTTCATAACCCAATTTTAACCTTCAATATTAGTAAAAATAATTTTGGAATTAAAAAAAATAGAATATTCATATTTACCGAATATTATGTTTTTGGAAAGAAATAACTCACAATTTAATGGTCCTAGATTTAGGGGATTAAAACTAACTTTGGTTGAATATCCTTTCTATCATTTGGTAGAAGATAGAGAAAGTGGTAGATAAAAGGGGTAGAATATATATTCTGCGTATCATAGAAGACATAGCCATTGGTAGAAATAGTATTCTGCGGTTGGTAGTACTGAAACAAAATGGTGGAATGTGGAATCTACGATATGTAGAACTTGAACAATTAGTAGAATACTTCCTTCTACCACTCGTAGATTTATACAAATTCGTAGAACACCTAATATACTAGTAGATTCGACCATGATAGAAGAAAAAATAAATAATTTGCTGTCATAGTTATTTTTGAAGAAAATTATAAACATGAATCTATATGCCTTGTATATTATTATTTTGTATTTTCCTGATTTTATAAAATTATAAAAACCATTTATTTGTAATTTTCAACATTAATCAAAGGGTAATTTAGGAAAAAGTTGGCACAAAAAGGCAAAGGTTATTGGGACCAAACCAATTTTAATATGAGTCAATTTAGCAAAATTGTCATTATTAAATGTAGAGAATTTATAGAGAATTTTTTTTTGAAATGTCACTTTTAAGATACCACTTTTCTAAATGCCATCATTTAATTTTTTTTTTTCAAGAGTGTCACTAATCTTCTATATATTAATTGAGTAGATATCTTGTGAAAAAATCATATGCATTATTCAATGAGATTTTTAAGGATTATGTCATTTAAATTAACCAATGAAAATATTTCTATTAAAACTATATGCCATGGTGAAATCTACATGTTTTTATTAATTTCATAACATAAATCTATTTATACATATTTTACAGATTTAAGTTTAGCTAAATGTAATTTTTAGACTTACCATATCATCTATTTTTTTTAAAAATTGATATGTTAAGAAGCTTTTCATTATTATATTTGTAACCACATTATTTATTTGTAGATGATAACTACATTTACAAATATTTTTACATTTTATTATTGGAAAACAAATATTTGTCGTTTGTTATATTCGACAAACTCATATAAATTTAAAAATTCATTTGATTTATTGCATGCTCTATAATTTACACAAATAATAAAAATTAATTTTACACTTCAAATAAATTGAAATAAATAACATGTGTATTAGTTTTAATATTTTTATGCAAAGTTGATCAAATATTTGAGCTTGGTACCAAACTATAAACTACTCCTAATTCAATTCACCAAAGTTGTAAACTGCTCATTTTCAACTATTTGAGTTTGGTACCAAACTATAAACTACTCCTAATTCAATTCACCAGAGATGTAAACTACTATTTTTCAACTATTTGAACTTGGTACTAAGCTATAAACTACTAATTCAATTCACCAAACCTGAAAAAACTGCTCTTTTTCAACTGAGGAGCTGATTTCTTCTTTGAAGAACAAGAACAAGTGAATGGATCGATTCACAAACTATATATTCGACTTTCAGTTTCATTTCTGCTCTAATAATGTTTGAATTTTGTTGCTGAATTTTGTTTATCTATGCTCTTTGGATTTATAAACTCAAAAAGTTGAAAAGTAGTTGAAAAGGAGCATTCATGTGTGCAATTTGTTTTATCAGAGAAGCTTTTAACTCACCAATCTCTTTTGTAGCAAGATCCTTCACCTCAGCGACATCTTTCCTAGAGGACTCTTTCAAATCAGCCATATCCCTCCTTATTGCATCATTTATCAAGAGTTGATCATTGCCTTTTCCACGCTCTTAGAGCTGGTTCACAGCTCCCACGACAACAGCTCGTATTGTTCCATCAATGATCTTCTCCTTCAAATTTTCACCTTTTGAGTTCCAATTCTATGCAATGTGGAAAAGAGTAAGAAAAAAAAACAAAAAACATAAGTAAAACGAAGTCATATTTGAGAGTCAGACTAAACAAACAGCAATAGCAAAGGCAACGAGACCTAAACGCCGCCGACATTTTCTTCTATGATTCTCGTTAAGAGAAAAAGAAGAGAAACGCTTTGCTTTTAAAGATCGAGTTCAATTGATTTTTCAGAAAGAATGATACGATATATAAAAAAATTAGCCTTAAAAACACAAAGTTTTGATGAAATTTTAAAGACCAAATTGACTCAAAATCTATTTCTTACACTAATTACATGACAAAAAAAAACCAACCAAATAATGATAATTTGTAATTTATTAATAGTTAAACGTCATTATTAAAAAGTATTAAATCCTTATAACAAAGAAAAAATTAAAATCTTACCAATAACTACATAAAAAAAATCATTTCTTAAAATAGAATTGAAAATAACATATTAAGTTATTATAGTCATAATTTAATTTTATGATTCTTATATCTAACAAATACATTTTAATACGAATTTTTAATATGATACTCAATTCATAGTTTTAATATGAATATAGAAAACATGAAAACATATAATAGTAAGATTTTTCAACAATGTGTTTAGTGATCAACTCACATAATGTATACAACTAATATAAGTTTAGTCAGTTCATATTCAAGTTTTATAAGTAAGCGGTCTTTTTTTTATACATTAGAAATTGTATGTCCAATACTTTTCTGTAAGTGCTTAGTCTATAAACACCAAATTTCTGT